CCTATATCCCCCTATATCCCCCTATACACCCCAGTCCCAACCCCCCCATCCCCAAAAGTTTCTCAGAGGATTTGGGCTGTACTCAGCAAGCGCAGTACAGCTTCCAAATCAGATCTGAAAAAAAATTAGTGGATGGTTGTTTTCTGACTGGTCGGCAGACCACCGACCAGTCGGCCCTACTGGTCAGCTGCAATACGGTCGGCGGTCGGGGTCGGCGGTCGGCAGGGATGCAACCATGGTCCTCACATAGCATCAACGATGGCGTACTCATACTAGCTCTACCATCAACGAGGGCGTACTCATACTAGCTCTACCTTAAATGTATATGACCGCATTTGCAGCCCGACATGGATGTAACCGACGGCAATTACGTCCAGAAATACGTAAAACAGCGCTAGAGTGAGTGTGCCCGAAGCGGCTAATTGATACAGTCACACAGTTCTGTATTCCATCCTAATCCGGGTTACTACTCGTATTAGCTCGATCTTAAATATATATGACCGCATTTGCAGCCGGACATGCATGTATCTAACACAATTACATCCAGAAACAAGTAAAAAAGTCCTAGTGTAAGTATGTCCCACAGTTCTGTATCCTGTCCTCATCCAGGTTACTATAAACTTAATGGCCTTACTCCACTGCTCACCAAATGTGCAAAATGAGAATGAATCTTCCACTAGAACATGAAAAGATACACCGTCATATTTCTGTCTTTCGTCCATGTGGTGAGTAGTGGAGCAAGGCCCTAAACCACCAGTACTTTCCCAGCCATCTTTCTACAACGCCGTAGCGCGCGGGCCACATCTGGTGGGATGTACGGGCTTGCCGCTTCACAAAAAATTACACCCAGGCAAGACGGGCCATGCACACGACACATTTTGCCTCGATGTTTTTGTTGCCAAATGCCAGCACGGTACATCCGGCCAGACGCAGCGCGAGCACAGCCGCGTCGTACAAAAATGGTGGGGGGAAAGTACTGGCGGTTCAAACTACCAGAACGTCCCCCAGGCAAAGAAAATGAGTGAGCTGCACACATCCGAAACTTTTGGGGGCTCAGGGCTACGGGACCGAAATGGCTGGCACCGCCAGCTGAGAAGAAAAGAAATCGCACTCCCGCGGATCCATTTTTTCTCTTTTGGCACACAGGTGACACAGCACAATTTCAGATCGGTGGAAACAGCCTCGGACGTAGTGCCGGTTTAAGATAGTAGTATATAGCATACTTGCAAGCGGACGCCGTCCGGGCGGTTCCGCACGTGCGGCAGACCGCCGGACCGGACCCATGCGGCGCCCGAATGTGCGCCCGACAACCAGTTACGCCCCCCCCCCCCCCCCAAAAAAAAACAAAAACGGCCCCGTCCGGTCCGGTCCGGGTCCGTCTGGTCCGGGGGGAGGGTGCCGCGCGCGGCAAAACGGACCGGACCGGACGCTCGTCCGATCCGTCTGGTTGCAAGTATGGTATATAGTATATACATTTATTTACACAGCACACTCCCATTAGCTACAGCCAACATGGAGAACGACGTAGGCACTTATGTATGATCAATTACACAAAACTCTCATTAGCTACGGTCAATGTGGACAAAATAGATCTTCTAGTGTACACCGGTACTTTTGTTTGCCCAATTATCGCAAAGAACTTGAAGGACGCAGAATAAGAAAGACGGGGCTGTCACCCTCTTCGGCGTCCCATTCCAGGTAACCTGCACACAGGCCGCTGCTGAGGTTGCCTCTCAAGGGTCCGGCACGTAAACTCAGGACCAATGAATCCATTGGCAGGAGATCCTTATTGATCAAACCCTAAACGTCAAAACCACAGGCTCACCAACAAGCACTAACGTGGCACACTGACGCATCCCACACCGGGCCTGGGAGGCTCAGGCATTATTTTGGGCGGCACCTTCGTGTAGTACCCAGGACAAGAGAGGGGATCGGTGCACCAATCGCCAAGCGCAAACATGGAACACAGAACACGATGAATGATGCTGCCAACTTCGGTTGCTGGGTGTTGCCGCCGCAGACACTCGTCGAGTTCATGTACCCACCAACACCGCATCCTGGTGATGAAATTGTTTTAAGCCGGATTGCACAATCCACTTTGTGAATGAATCTGACGTTACCTTTGATCAGATCCATCAACGAAAGTGGGCTGTTAAGTTCCAAAAACATGTAGAGACTACATGTCGCTATGGCTGGTCGGCCACGCATTTTTGGCTGGGAGGTAATGCTTCGCCCTCCGATCTCGAATAGGAGGTAAGACCTTGGCCTTTATTCTGGGCCAGCAGATGATATTTTGATCCAATGGCCCAGGAGAGAGGCCCGGTAGAGAATCCGGTGCATTTGGCCTGCCAAATACTACTTATGGAGGAGGGTCAGCCCCGTAGAGGTTGCCACCAGGCTGGTGGGGTGGTGAGTAACCAGCCTAGCAGTGGAGTAGAGATGTGCAGGGTACGTTGAGGAGAGAGAGGTAGTGGAGTCGTCCACGTATCTGGTGCCATAGCTTGGAGCTCAGCCACTGGTTATAGCTGGTGTTTTTTTTTTTCAGGGTACCTACAGTTTGTCAGCGGCTCAAGGCTCTCCCGATTCTCCTGTCGGTATCTCTAGACACAGAGAGAGAGAGAGAAAGAAGCTGTCCATTCTTCTTCTTCTTCACCTCCTCCACCACCCTCCTCTATCTCCTCCTCCTCGGAGGGGTGAAGAGAGAGAGGGTGAGAGAGAGAGAGAGAGAGAGAGAGAGAGAGAGAGAGAGAGAGAGAGAGAGAGAGAGACTTGGTATTGCTGTGTGAGGAGAAGAGCTCCCGAAGTTGAGATCTGGAACATTTTTTGGTGGCGGCCAGGAGGAGAGGAGATTTGGGTGGAAGGGAGATTATTTTTTGGCTCTTATATGCATTAGTTCTTCTTCCTCCTCCCCCTCCTCCTCCTCCTCCTCCTCCTTCCATATCCCACCTCACGCACGTCCATCCATGATGAGAGCGGGGAGGTCTCTTCTATGTTTGGACCCCTCGCCACTGAGTCTGAGCTCACAGATCTGTGTCACATTGTCATGTTGCTGCACGCCCAGGTCAGTCTCTGCCTGATTTGAGTCTTCCGCTGTGCTACATTGCGTATTTTCCCAACATTGCCAATCCTTGAATTTTGCGTTGACAGTTCATCCGGACATAGAGCCTAAAAGATGCAAAAATAAAAGATGCAAAAAAAAAAGAAGGAAAAAAATTGACCGCAGAGCTCCGAATGCTGGCTGAATAGAAGAGACTCGAAGTCAGAGCCTAGAAACTTGGCTACTAAACTCTAAATCACCAAAATGGGAAATTTTTAGACCCCTTGATTTCACCAAATGGCACTTTGCTTATCCGGATTATTCCACCATTGTGCAGGAGACCTGCTCACTGTTCATGCTAATCAGTCATCAAAGGGTGCGCAAAGAGAAGCTGCACCCATCTGTCAACGACTCGAGTGAGGCATTCTTCGCATGTTAGTCGGGAGGGGGGGAGGACAAAGCAGACACTGGCAAAGGTTTAAGAAAATCATACGACGTACCCCATCTGTCTGAGAAATGTCTCGATATACAACTGTAAGCAGAAGCTCGCTTGAGCCTTCATCAACTTCACCGAAAAACAGCCGCAAAGGAATGCAGTCTGCATAGCACAGAGGCATGGCACATGCACCCATAACTGTCATTTTCCAAGCAGTTCCTTGACACAAGAGCGACGGAGTAACAATGGCATATAACATAGGCTTCCGTCGGGATCAAGGAACAGAGCAACCTACAAATGACCATAATTGTCGCTAATGACACAGCTCCAGGTTCTTCTCTTCTTCTTCTTCTTCTTCTTCTTCTTCTTCTTCTTCTTCTTCTTCTTCGTATTCTTCTTCTTCCTCTTCTTCTTGTTTGTCGTCGTTCATCATCATTTTTTTTCTCCTTCTTCTTCTTCTTCTTCTTCTTCTTCTTCTTCTTCTTCTTCTTTTCATTTTCCTTCCTCCTCCTCCTCCTCCTCCTCCTCCTCCTCCTCCTCTCCCTTATGTTCTCCTCCTTGTTCTTCCCCTTCTTTCCAGCTCTTCTTCTCGATGCACAGTTTCTATGGTTTCCCTTTTTTTAATCTGTTTTCATTTTTCCCCATCCGTACCATCACATAATAATCATTGCACACGCCATCTGACAATCGACTCACGATTGTCGGACAATAATCGACCGACCGCAATCACGGACAACTTCAGTTCTCATTAGCGCAAGCCTGCCAAACCACAGACCCTTCCCATTGACTGAAAGCACACACAAAAAAAAAAAGCAAGCAAAACCATGACTGCCGAGCCGCTCGACTCCTAAGCGATTGAGTCATCCACCTCAGTCCGTTCTGTTTGCCAGTGCCCTAAAGTTTACAGGGGGGTGGTTAGATGCAAATTTGAAAGGGCAAACTGACAAATGACTGAAATGTTTGTGAGGCTTCGTATTGTTCACTTCCAAATGTGAGTGTTCGCACGTGGGAGCTTATCGAAAAACTGGCCTTGAAAGAAAAARAAAAAAAAAAAAAAAAAAACACACTCATTACACTTTGCAGATGCATGTCAATCTTCCAAATAACGTGTTTCAGGCTCGAAGTGTTTGCCAGGTGACTAGTGCCCAGTGTGGCACGAGTAGTTACAAGGGGGTGTCATTTTTCGCCAAATTTTGCACTGGAACTGTCATATTGCCCCGACTTTTTGCTTTTTTTTTTCTTGATTTGTTGTGTGTGAAATCAGACTCCTCTTCTTCTCACTTCGCATGCATGCAAACAGATGGCAAAGCACACTGGCGCCAGTCGCCCACACAAAGCTCAGAGATATTCAAGCCGAGAACACAGTTCAGATACAAACTCGCTTCAATTGGCTATGGCGCCAGAGCGCCTTCTCTTCCCTTCCCAACTCTGTATTCACGGCAACTGCTCACACGCACCCAACTCTAGATCTCCCTGGATATCCCTCACTCTGTGTCACACACACACACACACACTCTGTGTCACACACACACACCATCACTACCACCTATCGCTAGCTATGGCAGTTATGGCCGCCGGCTACCACTCCCTACAAGCAGCGATGACTGGTCTATCTTCCTCGCAGCCCACTTCGACTTCGGGCATCTGCAGACCACCTCGCACAAGACACTAGGGCAGCGCTTCTGCATGGCTCACGCAGAATGAATGAATGAATGACTGGACGCTGCCTCCTGATTCATACTTCTGTTGGTCGCTGGTCTGCCCCTTTTCCACCAGCCCATGGTGCACACAGTCCCATATGGTACTTGCTTGCTGGACAAAGTGAGACGGACTGGGTAGCGCTAACTAAGCAAAGTTGGACTACCCACTTGCCCACTTGCCTCTGGTCTAACGTGAGTAACACTCGAAAGGCCACGTCCGGAAGTCTGTGGACTTGGCCTTTCGGAGCTGTAGCAGCTACGACCTTGACCTTTCCGGATTGTAGCAGCTACAACCTTGACCTTTCAGAGTTGCAACAGCTATGAACCCTACTCGACAGACCTACGGTTCAAGACCCGACACCTACACAGACCTATGACAGACAACAGTCAGCTATCAAAACACACAAGGGTCGAGTTGATACTGTACACGGGTGAGGTAAGGTCTAGGGATCGAGCCCTGGGGCTGCATCTGTTACTGCAAAGGTGAAAACCGTTTCATGTGTGATATGTATGTGCTTTGGGGTACATCATGCATTCAGTTTTGAGTCTTTTGGCATATTTGGATCAATAACAAAAAAGTTGGGATTTCATTCCTTGTGGCGATGCAGTACAAACGGAAATTTTTTTTGGCCCTCCGTTAGCCGCATGTTCGGTTCATAACGTCTGATCTGAAATGTGGAACAACTCAGAATGCTTGACACACACACAAACTTGAAAAAAAAAAAAAAAAAAAGCAAATGTAGTGAAAAGTTGAAAACAGATAAGAGTGATTGCCCCGGGTCGAATTGTGAAGTCCCCTGCATCAAACTTCTTTTCAATAAATTGAACTGTTTTCATTAAAAAAAAAAAAAAAAAAAAAAAAAAAGGAAAGAAAGACAGGTTCAGGTGGGCAGGGAACTGTTTGCACCTGCTACATCGGGCAGAGAGAGAGTCTGGCAATGCACTCGAGTACGGCGATGAACGTCCCAAATGCGAACCATTCCATCCTCATGGAACACAAATACGAATACGGAGCCCCGGAAATGCCGAACGAAAATGTCACGAGGTGGACTGATTGTTCTTCCCCTGCACGGCAAACAGAAAAGAATGAAGCACAAGGCAGAGGTAGGTAAGCGGAGGCCAGACAAGGAACAGAGAGGGGGAGAGAGAACATAATCCTAGGTGGTGCAACAACCACAGGCACAGAACGAACTGCACGTACAATCAAGGGTCCAAAAAGAAGACCAGGTGCATGCACATGTAGGTAGAGAGAGAACAGCCTGCCGGTACAACCACAGGTTCAAAAGGAAGAGACCAGGTACAGAACCACATGCGCAGACAGAACAGCAATTACAATGATCCAGAAAGAACAGCGGGTACTCTCCGGCAGCCGGGGGGGGGGGGAAAGGACAGCAGCCGAGAAGAGGAAGCCACATCGTGTTACACACAAGACGGCAGGCACAGGAGCACAGCAAGAGCAAGGAACATGCAAGGGAAAGGGTAGCGGAGGGAGGGAGAGGGGAAAAGTAGGGAGAGAAAGAGAAATCATACCACAACCAGGTAAGATATATTCCATGACAAATGAATTTCCCTTGTTGTCCCTAAACGGTCCTCCGCACACCAACCATACCCCTCACTGCTCCTTAAACCACCAGTACCCCGCCCAGGCAAAAAGAAATGCCTTCCTGAATTCATGAATGATATTGGCAGGCCCGGTAGGGGCTCCGTGGAGCCTCGGAAAAGGTCCGTTTCAAAAACGAAAACGGACGACCAGAGAGCGCAGCAGCATTAAAACAAAAAAAAGAAACAACTTCAAAAAAGAGAAAACGAAAAAATGAAAACTGTCGTTTTTTTTTTTTTGGCTCTGCCAGCAGTGCAGAGCGTAATCCCCGTTCATTCGTTCTCAGGACTAGCTAGCCCTCACGGAGAGCATACTCACACTAGTACTTTCCCACATATATCTGACCACGATCACGGGCAAATCTGTGCTTCCTTTTTTTTGGGGTTGGTTTCTTTCCTCCGACGAACCACTTCCAAGCAGATGTCGGGGAGGGCATGTTTGCAGTAGTGCTGTCCAGAATGTACCTGCGTGCTATCACCGCCAAATCCTTTTCATTTTTTTTCCTTTTTTTTTTTCCTCTGCCAGCAGTGCAGAGCGTAATCCACGCTGGGATGGCATCACTGACAGCATAATCGCAGTAGTACTTTCACTGACGGCATACTCACACTAGTAAGGGGAAGAGAAAAAAAAGAAAAGGAAAGGAGAAGGGAAGAGGGAAAAGAACAAAAAGTCTAAGTAGAAGTACCGGTCCCTCAACAGTGAAGGACCGGTCGCCCGCTGTAGCACTGCTTTACTCCAGTTGCCTCCTCCCGAAACAAAGAGTGTGAGGAACGAGCCCTCAAGGGGCCCTATCAGACATCACATGTTCTGGGCTAAGGCCCCAGCAAGCTGAGTGCCCGCCCTAAGTGAAGGCGGGCCTGAATATTCATCAAAGGCCAAATTTCAACATTTCCGTATGCGGGTATTCAGGCTCTCGCAGCACGCCAGTTTGTTGGGTAGATGAGTGAGCCTCACTAAGCTGCGTCGTACAGTAGGCCCAGGCCTTGACAGTTGCACCTGGGCACATACACACAAAGCAGGGCCGATACATTGGGAAGCAGGCCATCGGCCTTTGGAAAAGCAGTACTGCCAACGCACCTACCTGGGAGCCCCGCACAGATGCAGCAAACAGCCCAAGTCCGGAGACTCAGGCCGTGCCCAACTGAAAAGGGCCCAGGCCCTCAACTGTCGTCTCGCGCCTGGGCGCAGGGTCTGAGGGCCAACCAGAAGCTACTGGAAGCTTCCAGCCAGGCCACACGCAGCATCCAGGAGGCTGCCACTTCATAAAAGAAGTGAGGCAGCCCAAGCCAGGCATTCTGGCCAGTGCAGGCAATGCGGAAGTGCTGCTGCGCTATCGCTTGATGCTGCGCTGCGGCCAAGGGCGCTGACGGGGCGCATAGCGGTGAAGTGGGGCGCTGCAGGGCAGTGGGGCGCAGGCAGCCATAGCCGGGCTGCTGGGCACCAGGGGGTAATGCGGGCAATCGGGGGGTCTTCCGGGAAGGAGGCGAGTGTGGGGTAATCAAGGTCTGACTGAGGGTGACGAGATACGTACCTGGTGCATGAAGAGACGTCGGCTATGGTGTTGACAGTCATGTGCATTGGTCTTCGAGAGTCGAAGTGAGCCTGTTGCGTGAACCAGCTGTAGGTAGGATAGTCGGGTAGAGTAGGCTGGGCGCTGGGCGCCAGACAGAGAGGAGCGACTCTGGATACTGTGTTGGTGTGGCCTACGGGCTTGAACATTGGCTCATTACTTCATTGTATTGCTCTATATGGATGGTTTCTCGGTGCATTTTGTACTCTCTGCTTGGACACGACTACCTGGACATCTGTGTGATATCGCAACTTGGTTTTCTGTATATCGTTCACACTCATATTCCTTGCAAGAGGTTCGGTAGCCCAAAAACAAAAAAGGTTCGGACGAGTGCTTCGTAAAGTACTGGTGGTTTAAGTGGCCCTCAGAGCCCCTCAGCATTCTTAAATCTTTCTCAGAAATGCAAACCATACCCCACAACTTCCCTCAATAGCCCTCATATATCAACCATACCCCTCAATGCCCCTCAAAGTCCCTCATCATTCCTATGTGTTCTGCAGAATGTAAACCATACCCCTCAACGCCCCCTCAATGGCCATCAGAATCTCAACCATACCCCTTAATGCCCCTCAATGGCTCTCAAAGTTGCTCAGCATCGGTACATGTTAGTCAAAACATAATCACAACCATGGCCCTCGACACCCCTCAATTGCCCTCAATCATACCCCTCAATCATGCCCCTGAATACCCCTCAAGAGTGAATACCCCCTAAATACCCCTCAATCATACCCCTCAAGACTCGAGAGTCAATACCCCCTAAGTACCCCTCAAGCCCGTCAGTATCTCACAGTACGGCATACCCCTCAATATCCCAAAGTACAGTCCCTCAAGCATATACCCCTCAATACCCATCGATGGCCTTAAACGTTTCTCAGCATCCCCAAATGTTCCTCAGAATGTAAACCATACCCCTCAATGTCACTCAATGGCCTTCAAAGCCCCTAAATAGTGCCTAGTAATGTCAATCATATCCATCAATATCCCTTAAAGCCACTCAATATTCCACACTATGGTACCTTTCAATCATCATACCCATCTCACATTACAGTATCCCCCAATGACACCCCTCAGTGCCACTCAATGGCCCTCAGTGCCCCTAAATGTTTCCTAGTATGTTTTGATCATACCCCTCAATAACCCTCAATAACCCTCAATAACCCTCAATATACCCCTCCATATACCCCTCGATACCCCTCAAGGCCTTCAATCTCCCTCTCTGCGTCTTCCCACTACCCATCTCACATTACAGTATCCCCCAATCATACCCCTCAATGCCACTCAATGGGCCTCAGTGCCCCTAAATGTTGCCTAGTATGTTTTGATCATACCCCTCAGTAACCCTCAATACCCCTCAGTACCCCTCGATACCGTTCAATATACCCTTCCACAAACCCCTCAGAACCCCTCCATACCCTCAATACCCCTCAATATCGCTCAATATACCCCTCAATACCCCTCAAGGCCCTTCAATCTCCCTCTCAGCGTCTTCCCGCTAGGCTTCCATCTCACCTCCCACCTGTTCAGGACGCCAGCCCACAGCCGTCGGATTCCTCCTTCACCCTCTTTGAGTTCAAATACCACCTCTGCAAATAAAGACAAAACAGCCACATATCAGGAGGTCATTTCAAACTGCCTCTACACCACAATTTAAGAAGTTGACTGCATCTGGTCCATGTTCACCGGCACATTCACAGGCGATAACAACCCTGATTTCATTGGCAATGGCTTCTGAGAGCAGGATTGACAATTTTTTTCACAAGTTGTGTCAGCAAATCAGGATTCTGGGGTTTAGGGTTCAGTGCATCTGGGCACTCCAGGTGGCCTTCAATCCATCGAAGCCATTCAGCGACTCCCTACTGCTGGTGGTCGTGGTGTTTTTGAGGGAGGGAGGGAGGGAGGGAGGGAGGGAGGGAGGGAGGGAGGGGGCTGTCATCCTGTTCATTCTGGGATGTAAAAACAGTGCTCTTTTCCCCGCAGTAAATCATACAAAAGAATGCATGGAATCAATGCCACCTGGAGTGCCCCAGATGGTCTGAATCTAGTCCGACATAAAAAATAATGCATAGATTATCTGAATCTAGTCTTACAACGCGTGGAATCAATGCCCTCTACTCCCCAGGTGTATAAGAGAGAACCATCCTTCTCACTTAAACCTCACATAAGCTCACACACTGCAATTACGGCATATAATACTCGCACTAGGATTTTCTGAGATGAATCTGATCACCAGATTCTGTCCAAAAAACAGCCAGCATGAGTATGACCTTCAGTGACCTAGACTTGCGATTCAGTAATTATAACGATTTTGCACGTAGGAAATCAAAGAACATCTGAGCATTCGTAGAACTTTAACTGATTTTCTCTGTGTATACAACTTCTGGGGTCTTAGGCTATGCTACAGGGGTCTCCTGGCCAGGCAACCAGGCCCCCACAGGCCAGACCCCACTTGCCTAGGTAAACTGGGTGGGGCAAAAAATCGGGGAAAGGTTATTTAAAAAAAAAGACATCAGGCCGAATCTGCACTTGGCCAGAGAAGTCGGAATCCAGTCTTATCTTCGAAAATGGTCATGCTACACTTTTTTTCTTTTTTCTTTTTTCTTTTTTTTTGGKGGKGGTGGTGGGGGGGGGGGGGGGKGRGGGGAAWAAATGGGCCARAAAGGGCTTCACCGCTTCACAGGGGTGTAAAAGGGCACACATTAAATCACCAGTACCTACTGCATTTTTGGTACCCCCCGGTCTGAAATGAATTTGGACCTGAGGAGCAGGCCGATTCGGCTTCCGCGTTATCGGTCAGCCCAACCAGTAGGTACTGGTGGTGTTTAATTTGAGTTGATCTATTTCTCTTTTTACTTGAAATTAATAAAAATTCCGAAGTAAGTTCAGGTGACGCCTTTTCCAGGGCAAAAAACGGGGAAAGGTTATTAAATATTTAAAAAAAAAATAATAATAAATTTGACCTCAGGCCGAATCTGCGATTGGCTACAGAATCCATTCTGATCTTTGAATCTGGTCATGGTACACTCTTTTCTTTTTCTTTTTTTGGGTGGGGGGCACAGGGAGGCAGGGGGSGGGGGGGGGGGGGRGRGGGGRGGACAAATGGGGCAGAAAGGGCTTCACAACTTCACAGGGGTGTAAAAGGATGCACCTTAATTTGATTTAATATTCTCTTTTTTCTTGACTTTAACAAAAATTCCAAAGTTCGTTCAGGCAACCCTTTCCCACTCTCAAGGGTTGAGGGTTCAACTCCTTTTTCCGCTCGTCAGCTTCCCTTCTTCTCTTTTCTCTTCTTTTCTTTTCTTTTCTTTGAGCCTGAATCAGTTCTGGGACACTGAAAACTTGAGTTTACATCTCGGCTCGAGGTCGAGGGTTTAGGGTTTATGAACATTAAACCTTAGGTCATGCCAGGCATTTGCAAGACCGGCGAAGTATCTGGGAACAGTCGGGGGCTTTTTTTTCTTTTTTTTTTTGTATGTTTTCGCTCGGGGGCCATGCTAATCTTCGCTGCATCGTTCCAATTTTAACGGACGTCCTGAAACCAGACAGTATATACTATAGAGTCCATAGACCTTTGCAGGAACTTTGCGTTTTTACCCCCGGAAACTGAAGAGTTTTCTGCAAAGTATAGAGCTGCTTCTGGGAAGTATAGTGTTTTCTGAGAACTATAGAGCTTCCGGGAACTACAGGTCTTTCTCCTGGGGAGTATAGATCTTCTTCTGGGGAGTATAGATCTTCTTCTGGGGAGTATAGATATTCTTCTGGGGGATTTGTATAGATCTTTCCAGAAACTGGTAGAGTTCTTCTGGGGAGTATAGATCTTCTTTTGGGAACTATAGAGGTTTTTGACAACTATAGAACAATCTTGTAGACCTTTCTTCTGGGAAAGATCGAGCTTTGCAGGACTATAGGCTTTCCTCTGACAAGTACAGATCTTTCCGGGCACTAAAGAGATTTCCAATAGACGGTCTACTGCCTCTAGGACTCTAGGAACTTCCAGGGTTAAGAGTTCTGCTTCACTACTTCTCAATCCTTCTTTTGGGGAGAACGAAATGAATCGTGGCATTCATCTACCGTCTTCACCCGAATAGAATGCCTGGTCATTTTCACTGTATCTAGACTGGAAGTTCTGCCAAGTACAGCTACAGAGGCCGGGCGTTCTATTCAGGTGAAGACCGTAGTTCGATTTGGATTCGAACTCAGGTCTGCATTTCAACAGTCCATGTGTGTATAGCAACTGACTCGGTACTTCCGAATCCTTTCTTTTTTTTCTTTTCTGTATATTATTTTCCGCTTTCTGCACTAGTATTTCTAGACCCTGCATCTGGATCTATTACACAGATTATACATTTCATTCACATTCTTGGGGGTTAGCTGACGTTACGCCTTCCCTAAGCGGAGGTGCCATCTTTCCTGCGCTCGCGTTGAAGCTGAACTCATTTTCATTCCTCCGCCCCCTAACACCACCTCCCCCCTTTCCCCTCCCCCCTCCCCCCTTCCCAGCTTACTTACCTAAGGCACGTGCTTGCTGTTGCGTCCCAAATTGGAAACACAAGACCGAGCCATTCTGACCACCCATTACCAGCAGGTTGCCGCTGCCGGCAGTTGCTGCCACTCCATCCAGTTTCACAATGTCGGAGAAAAGGTCGTACTCCTGGATATCTTCCTGCCTCATCTTGCCAAGGCCCAGGCTTATACGGCCATCAAGAGCTCTGCATGGTACAGGCACTTTGATACGAAACACTATGCCTGCCTCTGTGAGCACATACAACATCCCCCTGTCCTTCCTATGAACCTGCACAAAACAAACCCGCACACAACCCACCATGCATCTCATCATCATCATCATCACACCTCTCTCTCTCTCTCTCTCTCTCTCTCTCTCTCTCTGTGTGTGTGTGTGTGTGTGTGTGTGTGTGTGTGTGTGTGTTGGGGGGGTGTCTGTGTGTGTGTGTGCGTGTGTTATAAGCCTCTCTCTCTCTCTCTCTCTCTCTCTCTCTCTCTCTCTCACACACACACACACACACACACACACACACACACACACACACAGGGTTGGTGTGAGAGAAGTGGTCGAGTCGACCACTTTTCTCTCTCAGGGGTGTCACTAACTCTGGGCCATGAGGCGAGTCCTTACCCATCAGGAGTTCAACCTCTGACGAGTTGGTGAAAGTCCGG